GACTTATATGCAGAGATAAAGAACACTAAATCACCATGGAACGACATATATACCTTCTTGAAGCATTGGCGTAGGAAATCCGTGATGTCAGGAGATAGACTATCAGGTATTGGGGGATTGTCATCCTGAAAGAATGAAGCAAACAAAAGAGAGAACATATATCACTAAAGCTACAAGACATCAACATACAAAATGCATTACATATTATATCCATTATCACATGCCCATTGAAGTCGACAGTAAACATTACTTTGGAGAGGACACAGTCATTCTAAAGAATTATACACAAGACGCATAAAAGGGAGACAAACACCTAACAAGTGATGAAAGCTGTAGTATTCTATTGATATTAAGAGCAAGTCATACCTGTACAATACGAAACAGAGCAGGCATGGGCTGCAAATCATAGTAGGGAGGCACACAAGTAAGAAGTTCGATCACAGTACAACCAACGCTCCAAATGTCCGAAGCTGCACAAACCCCAGACATTTCAATAACCTGCAAAATACAGCCAACTCATATGAATTTTGAACCATGAAAGTCAACGTTTCCATCATAAGATTGCACCGTTAGCTGTTCTCCGCTGTGAAGGGCATGAGAAAACTGGTCAATTGACATATTAAAGAAAATAACTAAGTACCTCGGGGGCCATCCAGTATGGTGTTCCAACAACTGAATGTGTATTAACATCAGCCTCGGTCAACTTTGTTGCCACACCAAAATCAGCCAGTTTCACAAGTCCCTGGAAATAACAAGGACCAGTAGACAATTAATTAAAATCATTCCAGTTCAAAGTAAAGTTGAGAAAGAAACTAATGCGAATTTATTAAGATCTTAAGATGCCGATTTTCATTAATTTTGAGGTCACGCTTACAATAGGAATAGAGAATTGAAAGCATAAAGAGGTCATTTAACCCAAAACTTGCAACACCAACAAAGATGAAGCTACTTCAGTCTGTCGGATCAACTAGCCTGGAGTCTCAGAGTAGACTTTATAGCCTAGAACAATGATAACACCCTATCCAGAAATCATGGTCTCATTGGCAATTTCAGGCATATTAAGGCTCAATAGTTCAATTGGTCATTTGATGCGAAATGTAGAAGCAAATCCAACAAGAATCCTAAATAAAAAGCTAAGGGCCCATCACGGGAGCTGACAGGCTTTAAACTATACAATCAACCAGGAACATAACAGAAGAAAACCAAAGATCTACCTCCTTAGTGGTTAATATGTTTGCACCTTTGATATCCCGATGGATGACACCTTGTTCATGAAGATAAACTAACCCTTCCAGAACCTGTCACCAACTTATGGTTGTTACAAAAAGGCACGAATGTAACAGCAACCATAAAGCACCATTAATTGTAACGATTGGAGCAGAACCTGTGCAATATAAACAGTAACCAAAGACTCCGGAAATGGACCAAATTTATTCGGCTTAATGATATTTGCAAGGGAACCATTCTCCACATACCTATAAGAACAACACAGAGTTTACACATTATACCCTTTTAAATTATGCCATTTTTATTTAAAGTTGCAAAAAAGGAGAAGTATTTGATCTGACTTACTCAAGAATTATGTGAAGATGCGACTTTGTCTTCAACGACCCAAGGTACTTCACAATGTTTTTGTGGTTTAAATTCTGTACCAGACACATCACATCCAAAATGAGTAACTCAACCACGAACTTCCAACGATTACATCCCTTGGGAAAGAGCTAAAGCAAGAAGAAAGAGGATGCATAGAGGATCAACCCATCTAGAGATAAGTATCAAAATTAAAATTTGGAGAGAAATTGGTTGGATCATTTGGCCAGAGTTCAAAGTAGCATCCTATAATTACGCGTTCCTGTGGAAAGTATCAGCTGATGTGCTCTACAAATAATCTGGTAACATTATGACCTAATTCTCCATAGCAATTCCAAAATTACCACTGAAGAACTCCATTAATATTAAAAGAAAGTAAAATTAATACATGGATTCAATACTTTAACAAGAATCAAGAATGGCATAACTCATTTACAATTCTCAATCTTGCAGTCTTGTACAAGCAATCATTTCCATAATTACTCTTCTACAAATGGCTTGCCATCTACTCTTCACTTTCTTTTTCCCTCTTAGGCATCAACTATTGCTTGCCAGCCCTATTTTTTCAAAATGCTTACACCATTTTTAACTAACTCCATCGCTCGTCAGCCCTTCCCTATCCAGATTGAAAAACATAACAAAACAAGAGAGGCCATCATGACTTCTGAGAATAGTTCAAATTGAAAGTTCAGTGCAAGAGGATACAGCAACATCAATTCCCTAGAGGACCAATGAAAGGATGAATCAAACACAGTCAACTTAAAACTGTCAAACAAGAACAATACAAACTAGAAAAAATCTGAAACAGAAATTAAGATGGAAGCTACCTTCAATAAATCAATCTCTTGCTGAATCACCATTATTTCCATCCCAAGAAAGTGCATCGCAACAGAAAGAAGCAATTGTTAGTGGATTTATATGCACACTAAAGTTTTCAACAGATCACTTCACATTATTACTCGTCCAAGAAGATTTGACACAGATGACAACGTAAATACGATTTCATCTAAAAGGAATCAAACTACGATGAGGACTAAGCTAGGGGTAGGAGGAAGGTAACCTGCACATGCATCCAGTAGCTATAATAAATGTTTGAAGACTACAAATACTCCAATTTCAGAGTTGTAGGGCCTTGGAGGGGTGAGCAATCGATAACCGAAACTCGAAATGAAAAACATGCCAGAAAAGAAGTCTTCAAACATAAATCTCCGGGGCATGAACTGTAATAAAAATTATGAGAGAAAGAAAAACAGACCATAATGATATTGAGATCCTCCTGAGCAATATTCTCCAACGATACTTGTTTGATAGCAACAAAGTCTCCATTCTCCAAATCCAACCCTTTGTAAACTCGACCATATGCTCCTTTCCCAATTTCATCTCCAAGCATCTTACCAAGTAATGAAAACAGGGTCAACATCTTATAACAATTATTCAAAATAGACTCAGAAATTTTTTTATTCCTATAAGTTTTTCACTGCAAAATGCCGTCAGATACTACTGCTTAGAACCCAAACTGTAGCTCCTTGATCACACTTCTTAGGAGCCAAGTAGCAGCTTACTTCCAGACTTGCTATAATCCAAATCCACAATACTGTATGACGGATTGTAGAATAGCAATAGTTCTGTTCGCTAATGAACAGTTACTTCACAAATGGAAAGGCTAGCCGACTGAAATTAAGAACAACTTATGGTCCGATGAAGCAAAGCCATTCAGAAGTTAGCTATAATCGGCATTCTAAGTGATAATCGGAATCTAAGGAGTTCAGAACAGAGACAATTCGAGAATCCCGATAACGAATTTTGCTGGTAACCAACCAAATCGCAAGCATTGAGTGGCAATCCACCAAAGGGGATAAACCCCTACAGTCCTGAAGACTTCAACCAACAAGAACGAACACAGAAAGGGAACTGGAGAAATCTATGCCCAAATTGTCCGCGACGAGTAGAACAGGGAAGTGCAGGAATTAAGCCTCGAGAAGAACGGAGAAGGTCAAATACGCTCCAAAACAGAAGTCACGGCAGGGAATTGAAAAGGAATTGAGCTTACATATTTGTTGTCGAGAGTTTTGGATTTGTGGAAATGCGCCGTCGGCGTTTGACGAGACATTTCTCTTTTGCCGGTCGGAATGGCCTCGACTACCCCTCCGGAACAACGCTTAGATAGTCTCCATTACACGGAATAACGCAGGCGCCTAGAACTTCGCCGGATTCCGGTGGCAGCAACCACGGACCTCCGACGACCAATACGAAAAGGTAGGACGGGGAAAGAGCGAGGCCACGGAGAGACAGGAAATCAGAGAGGTTTTTGGCTTTTTCTACTTAATAAATAACTAGTTCGGTACCCGGTCCGTTGGCCGGGTAAATTTTGTTTGAAATATGTACTTTGGTATTTTTTCCTTCTAAGGTGTCTATTTTGTTCAGCATGTCATGTCCTCTCTCATTCTGTATCGTGTATACCTTTGAGTCCGACCACTTGGCCGCTAAATAATTTTTTTAAGGTAAATTAATTTGTACCGCACGACAATATTTTAGCATCCATGAAATTGTTGTGCATTATTATTATGATATTACAAAATTAAACATTGATATAATTTAGTAACTCAGTAGAATAAGAAATTTGTTCTGCGATCTATGTTAGTATATACTTTATGGCGGTACAATCGAATGATATTGATATAGTTTCGCAACTATCGAATAGGAACATGCCTTATAAATATATGATTGTGGCTATGTTTTTTAAAAAAACATATATCAAAATGGGTATCATTGTGTAGATCACATAAAATCTGATTTTTTCGCGCAATAATATTTAAATTCGGAGTTGAAACGAAATAAATATGGATTAATTAAGAATAGTAGGGGAGATTGAAAAAGAAGAGAGAGAGAGAGAGAGTTAAGTGGCACATTCTAATTGGGGTATAGAAAAATTTAAAAGAAAAAAAAAGGAGTTAAGAAAAAATCTGATTGGTCGGAAGGGTGCTGACGTGGATGCGTAGGAGGGCTGGAATTTTGAAATGGTGAAGGTAGTTTTTGGAAAAGTCTTTATATATTTTATAGATTAATAAAATAAAATAAATATGAAATGAATCAAGGACATGTACACTGACAGAGTTTCGTGCTGGGAAACAGATGGACTCCAATTTGGTAAATCATCGTAACTACGGTCAGCATGTGATTCACAAACTTTTTTTTTAGAATGATTCACAAACTTTAATTAATAAATAAATAAAAATATAATTTTGTTTAGAGCGTCTGGCACTTAAATTTGAGAATTGGAGCAGGCATACCATTAAAGTTTGAATCGGGCGTCGAATACCATTGAAGTTCCCAAAAAGTGCATACGTCCAGTTTTTTCATCCAACCCAAAACTTTGACGTTTGTGACAAATATAGCCACTTTTGGAGAAATACCAGAAATAGCCAGAATTTTGAAAGTTCGATGACAAATATAACCATTTCCGTTACATAGTTTGACGGCGTCAATAACACCGTTAGTCAAATTAACCAAACGCTTACCTGGCTGCCAACTCACCGGACACAATATTGACAACGCAACAATACTTGCCATGTCATATTTTAATTTAAAAATAAATAAAAATGACAAATTATTTTTTTTCTTCCTCTTCCCTCTCCCACCACTCGCCGTCGAAGAACTCTTTCTTCTCCCTCTCCTTCCGCCACAGACCCCAACCCCAAACCCATATCCTCTCCTCCCACTCCAACAGCGTTCCAGATCCAACCCACCACCGACCCCGCCGACACCGCTGACCCTACGATCTCCCTCTGGCTCATAGCATCCGACGGCTAAACCTTTCCATGAAGATCCGAACCCAAAGTGCAGGGCAACCCGGGAAAAGGTAAAACCAGAGAGAGGAAATCAGCCGGAGCGGCGTGTCCGATGAACCGAGCAACGACAGCATGAGCGATCCGAAGAACAACATGAGTGGAGGTAGCAGTAGTGGAAATCCTCCCAAATACACCCAGGTCCGAAATCTCCACTCCTATCGTAAAGACTGAATCTCATTATTATGCTATAGCTGCTGAATTTCGGCTAGTAGAGAAGGGTTGCTAAGTTAATCTACTGTGCAATGAATCCATTCTCTTATCACTAACCTCTAAAAAGAAAATCTAACCACGGAATTCAGTGTCACAAACTTTGCAATGGAAAGTAAAAGGGTCATGAACTAACCTTCTGCCACCACCAGTTTGATTCCGGTTGAAGCCTTCTGCAGGCGAATGAGCAGCAGCAGGAGGAATATTCTTGGCAACGATCTCGATCTTCATTGGTTTCCCATTTAATTGCACATCATTATATCTTGCAAAGCTTCAAAACCGACGAAAATTGAAATTGCAGATCTACGACCGGAGAAGAGAGGGTGCTGCGCAATGCGACGAACACGAAGAGAGCGGGGGATGGGGCGCGACTGGGAGATGCAGCGGTCGATTGACGATGTTGACGACGACGGGTATTGAGATCTGGAACAGGCGACGACGATTAGCGATGGCGATGATTGACGATGGCGACGACGACGGGTATTGAGATCTGGAGCAGGCGACGACGATTGGCGATGGCGACGACGACGGGTATGTAGCGGTCGATTGAGCAAATAGGAGAATGGAATTTAGATCTGTATTGATGGAGATAACAGATTGGAAACAGAGATTTTTTCTATTGATGAGGTTGAAACAGAGACGGAGTTGGGTTTAGGGGGATGTGGGGTTTGGGCAATTTTTCTTTTTATTTTTTTATTAAGTTTTTTATTAATCTATGTGGCAATGTTGTTTATAAATGTCACCACCACCTCAGCAATGTCGTTAGTCTAGTCAGCTATTTGGTTAACACCGTCAAATAATTGGACGGAAGTGGCTATTATTGGTATTTCCTCAAAAGTGGCTATATTTGGCAAAACCGTCAAAGTTTTGGCTATACAAGTGTATTTGGCCAATTTTTAATTATCTTTTGGTATCCAAAACTTTTAAGAACATAAAAAATTATATTTTTTCCGGTGATTAGCAATTTCCATTAAGCACAAACTTTCTGCAAATATGCAGAATGCTTCAAAAAATACAAAGGCTAAGCGCCCAAAGGTTCCTTACAGATTATCAACTCAGCACAAAGAAGAAAACCAAAAAATAACTAGCTGACACAACTGATTGTAAGTCGAAATCTTGCTGATTTCCTGCTGAAAATCAGCATCTCCACACCCATACATACTGATCTCCCGACGCAGCATCTCAGCGAGAGTCTCAGGGGAAGAAGATTGCTCCCCAAAGCAACGGCGACACCTCTCCTTCCAAATGAAACACAAACTCCAACACCAAATTGAGCAGTCAATTAACCCTGCTCTAGCTCCCTGCACAGATTTCCCAATCATGCTATCGAACATATCATCCCAGGTCTGAGGAAGAAACACTGCTCGCCTAAGAAGTGCAGCAACAAAATCCAAAGTATAAGAGCATTCACAAAATAAATGATGTCGAGACTCAACAGCAGCATGACACAGGGGGCAAGAATCATCAGTTATCATCCCCCAGTTTCTCAGTTTATCACGAGTGGCAATTCTATCTAATATGATCAGCCAAACAATAAAACGATTGCGTAGGAAAATGAATCGTCCCCAAATCACTCTCCACCAAGGCACCTCAGGCCTTTTAAGTCTAATAGTATCCCAGATTAGTGATACAGAAAACACCTTCATTGTTCCTCCCAACCAAGATACACTTCCATCAGTTTCGAGATTCATCCTGAACTAAAGCCAGGGCCTGATTTTGAGCAGTTGCTTCCAGATCCAAGATCCAAAAGTAGTAAGTCTGACCTCCCAAATGCAGTGTCCCCTTAGCCTATATCTGGTACACCAGGCCACCCAAAAACTCCCTCCCTGAATCAACGGCAGCCAAATTAGCCTAGCTAAACAAGCAATGTTCCAAGTACTTAGATCTTTTAGGCCAAGACCTCCTTCTTTTTTGGGCAAAGCAATTGATTCCCAAGCAACCTTGGCTCTGCCTACCCCATCACCATGCCATAGGAAGTTGGAAGTTGGAACAGATCCTCTGGATATTCTTAAGACCTTCGTGGGGAGAACAAATATTGCCATCCAGTAGTGAACTAAGGCATATAAGACTGATTCAACTAACTGGGTCTTACCTGCATAAGATAATTTCTGAGCTCTCCACCCTCTGATCCGACGAGTTAACTTGTCAACTAGGACAGCACACTCTGCATTTGACAACTTACCCGAGATCAATGGCAAGCCCAAATAACGAACTGGCCGCTTACCCTCTCTAAAACCAGAGATTTGTAGAGCAGTAGCCTTAAACTGATGAGCAAAACCACCAAAAAATACTTCACATTTGTCTGGATTGCATTGTAAACCATAGAGCTGATAGAATGTATCCAAGATTTTCCTGATTTCAGTTAAATTCTGACCTGGCCCCTCTGAGAAAATCAAGAGGTCATCAGCAAAGCTCAGGTGAGTGAGACCAAGTTGTTTGCATTGAGGGTGATAAGGGAAACCATCATTTGCTGCTGCTTTATTTAATAGCCCAGTCAAGGGTTCCATTGCAATAGTGAAGAGGTAGGGGGAGAGAGGATCTCCCTGCCTGACCCCTTTTACAGCACTAAAGAAGCCAAAGAGACTGCTATTGACAGAGATGCTAAAGGAGGCCGAACTTAGACAGAGAGAGATCCATTTAATGAAGCCCTCTGGGAATCCCATTAATCTCATCACACTCAGGAGATAACCCCAATGAACAGAGTCAAAAGCCTTTTTAAGATAAACTTTAATAGCAGTTCTAGATTATAGCTGACTTCTGTGATAGTTTTGAACTACTTCTTGAGCCATTAGTATATTCTCTAAGATGCTACGCCCCTGAATAAAGGCTGATTGATTTCGACTAATGAGTGCAGGGAGAACATTCTGTAACCTATTTGCTAAGACTTTCACAATTATCTTGTATAGAACATTTATATAGGCAATATGTCTAAAGGAAGGAAGCTTGTCTGCATTAGGTATTTTTGGAACCAGAGTCAATGATGCAAAGTTCATACCTCTCGGGAGAATCCCCTCCTGAAAGAAAGCCTGGACTCCCTTTATTATATCAGGTCCAATAAGACCCCAACACCTCTGAAAGAATACTGCTGTCCAGCCATCTGGTCCTGGAGACTTAGTGGGATGCATGTCAAAAAGGGTCTTCCTAACTTCCTCCCTAGATACCACCCTACAGAGCATTCTTCTATCGTCATCTGTAAGCTTCTCACTCAAGCACCCCCCAATAAGGTCACAGTCCACAATCACATCCTTGTTAATAGTTCCAAACATGATATGATCTCAATTCCATCCTTGAATCATCTCAAACAAATCGTTCAAAGATCGGGTCAAGTTAATACGAACAAGGCTGGAATTTTCCTAAGTGTTGAGACAGTTTTGGGAAGGGTACTTTGGAAGGCCGTATCTCTCAAACCCTTCACTGGAAATGCAAGGTTAGGGTCTCAATTTGAACCTTGGATGTTTGTTTATAGTTTTATGCATTTGGTTTGTGGAAATAAGGCCAGGAGGATTGTTTTCCAAAGCCATCAAAACCCTATCATGCATTCTGGAATCTGCCAGTTTTTGGCTAAGGCAGGAAGACAGTTTGAGGTACCAACTTTGAGCTCGAATTCAAGGAGTTTGGGGCATGACCAGCTGGAGCTTGGAGTTGGGAATGGAAGGACAAGACTTTTTAAACCAAGGGAAGGAATTGGTTGAGCTCGACTCAACCCAGAAGACCGATTTCTAGATCCACAAAGTTGACATCAAAGGTTGTTTTGGGACAGTTTACTTGTGAGAGAAGTTAGTTACTTAGGATGCAAGTTTTGATTGTTAAACGTTTTCTTTTTCCTTGTTTGGTTCAGAATTGTTACCTTGTTTGTTTAGGATTGTAATTAGGTTTCTTGGTTATAAATATTCAAGCTTTGAGTTGTAAGGGACACGTTGAAGTTTAATCGAAATTACTCCGAGGAGTTTTCCAGCTTGCGAGCTTTTTTTGGTTCTTGGTTGTTTGGCTGAGAATTGCAGACCTAGAGATGAGGATAGTCACTCTTGATCTCGTGGTAGTTCTACCTAGATTAGCCTCTTCCCCTTTCGTGTTGAAGTTGCTGGTTTAGTTCGTTAATTTCCATCAAGTTTCATCCCCAATTTCATCCATCTTTTGATTCATCGCTGCGTGCTTCTGAGTTAAGCTCATCAAGGGCTTATCAAGTGGCATCATCGCCTGGTTCAAATCAGTGGCCAAGACGAAGAAGAAGCAGGAGGACACTCGTCCTGTTGTAGCTCGAACAAGGAGGAAAGACCCAATTGATTTGCGCAAAGAAACAGAGCAGGAATCCGACTCTGAGTGCGACGAGAATATTGAAGTTCAGGAATCAACCATGGCAGATCAAGTTAATACAACGGAGCTGCTGCAAACAATAATGGCGCAGATGAACGCCACGTTCCAAGTGCAGTTCGACAACATTAACAAGCAGTTAGCAGAGTTGAAGTCGACGCCGGCGACAACGACGACCGATCCCAAGACGCTGACGAAGCAGGAAACAGTACAGGGAGACGATCAAAGCCCCGAAGCTCTGAATGCACGAATTCAGAATCTGGAGCGCCAATTGATCCTCGCTGGAGATGGTCATCGTGAACGGAATCGTGAGTTTCATAATCACGATAGACGTCCGCCGGAAACAGGGGTCCTTGACGAGCTCCGTGGAATCAAGTTGAGCATACCTTTGTTTCAGGGTAGCCTCAATCCCTCTGACTATCTGGATTGGGAACGGAAGGTGCTCCTGTTCTTCGATTGTCATAATTACACCGACGAGCAGAAAATCAAGCTTGTGTCTTACGAGTTTGAAGGTTACGCGGCGGCGTGGTGGGAACAAATTCGCATCAAGCGAAGGCTAATTGGACTTCCACCCATAGCGACCTGGCTGGAGTTGAGGAGCTTGATGAGGGACCGGTTTGTGCCCTCGTACTATCAACGCGACCTCCACGACACTCTGCAGTTGCTTCGTCAAGGAAACAGGAGTGTTGAAGAGTACTACCGAGAGATGGATCTCCTGATGATCCGAGCTGACATTAGGGAAGACAAGGAAGCTACGATCAGCAGCTTTTTGCAAGGCCTTCAAAGGGAAATCAAAAACCAAGTCGAGCTCTTCCCATTCGTGGAAATTGAAGAAGTTGTTCAGCTTGCCGCAAAGGTGGAGAAGCAATTGAAACAGCAGGGGTCTGGCAAGAGGTTCCCTCCAGCATGTAACACTTCCAAATCAAGTTTGGAACCTGAATTGGCACCTGAAACCCCTCGAATAATGCCTAGGAACACTACGACAACTCTTCCAGCTAAGACGAATAGTTCCAGTAGCACAATTCGCTGCTTTAAGTGCCATGGTTATGGGCACAAATCTCATCAGTGTGCTAACCAGAAGATAATGGTACTCCGAGATGGTCAGTATTGTTCCAAAGACGAAGAGGAGCCTAAGGAGCAATCAAATGGCGAGTTAGAAGGAGAAGAGATGGAGGCGGACAAGGGACCGTTGTTCGTAATTCACCAAACAATGACAAGCCTTGAACAGGAGCCATCTGAAGTGGACCAAAGGAACAATCTCTTTCACACTCGGTGTCAGGTTAACGGGAAGAATTTGTCCGTAATTATTGATGGTGGGAGTTGTGCGAATGTGGCAAGTCTTGACGTCGTAAAAAGACTCGGGTTAGCCACGATTCCCGGAGCTGAACCGTATTCCCTGCATTGGCTCAGTGATCATGCTGCAATGAAGGTAAACAAGCAGGTGAAAATTTCTTTCTCAATCGGAAAATATCACGACGAGTT